AAAGAAGACTCTCTTCCTGGGCCCCACCAGTCAAAATACACTGCTCAAAAAAATCAAGGGAACACTTAAACAACACAATGTAACTCCAGGTCAAATACACTTCTGTGAAATCAAACTGTCCACTTAGGTAGCAACACTGATCGACAATCAATTTCACATGCTGTTGTGCAAATGGAATAGACAACAGGTAAAGCATAGGCAGTTAGCAAGACATCCCAAATAAAGGAGTGGTTCTGCAGGTGGTGACCACCAACCACTTCTCAGTTCTTATGCTTTCTGGCTGATGGTTTGATCACTTTTGAATGCTGGTGGTGCTTTCACTCTAGTGGTAGCGTGAGAAGGAGTCTACAACCCACACAAGTGGCTCAGGTAGTGCAGCTCATCCAGGATGGCACATCAATGCAAGCTGTGGCAAGAAGGTTTGTTGTGTCTGTCAGCATAGTGTCCAGAGCATGGAGGCACTACCAGGAGACAGGCCAGTACATCAGGAGACGTGGAGAAGGCCGTAGGAGGGCAACAATCCAGCATCAGGACTGCTACCTCCACCTTTGTGCAAGGAGGGACAGGACGAGCCCTGCCAGAGCCCTGCCAAATGACCTCCAGCAGGCCACAAATGTTCCTGTGGCTGTTCAAATGGTCAGAAACAGACTCCATGAGGATAGTATGAGGGCCCAACATCCACAGGTGGGGGTTATGCTTACAGCCCAACACCATGCAGGACGTTTGGCATTTGCCAGAGAACATCAAGATTGGCAAATTCACCACTGGCGCCTTGTGCTCTTCACAGATGAAAGCAGGTTCACACTGAGCACATGTGACAGACGTGACAGGGTCTGGAGACGCTGTGGAGAACGTTCTGCTGCCTGCAACATCCTCCAGCATGACCGGTTTGGCAGTGGGTCAGCAATGATGTGGGGTGGCATTTCTTTAGGGGGCCACGCAGCCATCCATATATTCGCCAGAAGTAGCCTGATTGCCATTAGGTACCGAGATGAGATCCTCAGACCCCTTGTGAGACCATATGCTGGTGCAAGATAATGCTAGACCTCATGTGGTTGGAGTGTGTCAGCAGTTCCTGCAAGATGAAGGCATTGATGCTATGGACTGGCTCGCCTGTTCCCCAGACCTGAATCCAATTGAGCACATCTGGGACATCATGTCTCGCTCCATCCACCAATACCATGTTGCACCACAGACTGTCCAGGAGTTGGGGGATGCTTTAGTCCAGGTGTGGGAGGAGATCCCTCAGGAGACCATCCGACACCTCATCAGGAGCATGCCCAGGCGTTGTATGGAGGTCATACAGGCACGTGGAGGCCACACACACTACTGAGCCTCATTTTGACTTGTTTTAAGGACATTACATTAAAGTTGGATCAGCCTGTAGTGTGTTTTTCCACTTTAATTTTGAGTGTAACTCCAAATCCAGACCTCTGTGGGTTGCTAAATTTGATTTCCATTGATAATTTTTGTGTGATTTTGTTGTCAGCACATTCAATTATGTAATGAACAAAGTATTTAATAAGAATATTTCATTCATTCAGATCTAGGATGTCTTATTTTTGTGTTCCCTTTATTTTTTTGAGCAGTGTACTTTGTTGCTGAGTAAATCAGAGTATGCAATTGCCCACAGTAAGTTTCCAACATCCATGATGCTGTGTCCTGTTTTGAGCAATGCTTCCTTGTTCATATTAAGTTTCAGTATTATTAATAAACATAATAGGTGGCAAACCTACTAGGATTTAATAAAATGCCCAGGAAAGTCTTAGAATGCCACTTCTTGTTAGGAATATTGACTAGGGACTCTTTAGAAAAATGATTGAAAACATTGACTGGAGTTGCAAATTTCAATACACGATTTTTTTTTTTTAAAAAAAATCTGTCCACATAAAGCCATTGCAGCCTGAAATAACTCCAGCTAAAGTAATTACTGCAATGTTGAGAGCTGTAAAACATATTTGATGTGAATGGGATTACCATAGAGATACTATGCAAACACCTCCAGTTGCCTTTTCAAGTATATCAGCCAAGTCAAATTATTGCAAAGACCAAAAGCAGACTGACATATAAACTGTGTGTGTAAACTGATGGTTTTGAGGTAGCAGTTTTCATCTGCAGGGTATATTTTGACAGGTTGAAGATTGAGAGTGACATTTTGGATGGCTGATGCTATTCTTTTTTGAATCCACCATATCACTTATATAAACTAGTTCTAATAGGCGATAAAGGGAATATGTCAGCTGAATGTACTCCCGATTCCCTGTTTTCTCCCTATATAATCACTCTGGAAGAAGAATTCCCTTGCTTGCTTGCTTTCACAAGACTAGCCCTTTCTGGCACTTTTATTCTCTGGGAAAATAAATGAGAGTGGTTTGCAGTTATGTTACTGTTTCTACAGTAACCTTTGAAGCTGAGTCTCAAAGATCAGATTTAAAGAGAAGGAAGGAAAAACACTTCATTCTATTGCCAGCTTCTTTTAAAACACTGGAGGAGTTTCCAGGAATATAATGCCAACATACATGTGTAGCTGCAGTCTGCCATTAAAATTGGAAGCTCTAGATCAGGGCTGTCAAACTCCCGGCCCATGGGCCGGATGCATCACATGCTAGCCATTCCTATGCCCGGTTTAGAGAAGGGGAAAAAAGTCCCGATATGTCATGTGATGTCACTGTGACAACGCGAGTTGTCTAAGTCAGTGGTCACCAACCAGTGGGCCAGGGACCACTGGTGGTCCAAAAGAAAATTTGGATGGTCCGCAGAAAAATGTCACCCCAAAGCAATTATTCCAGCCTGTGCGGGAACACAAGGCTTGTGTCGCTTGCATTGCAAACAACACATACTGAGGGGAGAAGGGAAAGGGTGGAGGGGGGGGAACTTGTCCCACTCGCCCCATGCAACTGGCTTGGTCACCGGGCTGCTTCTTTCCGCTTCTTTCTTCTTCTTTTGGCTACACTCAAGAAAAGCAGTAAAAGTTTCTTTGTCTCCCCCAAACTCTGCCAGAAATGAGTTTTTGGGATGCTGCAAGGCCTCCTGCTCCAAGAGGCTGCACTGGCAAAGACTCATTTCTGGAGGAATTTGGGGCAGAGAAAGAAAGACTTCTGCTGCTTCTGCTGCTTTCCTTGCATGATGCCAAAAGTCTCTGTCTCTGTCTCTCTCTCTCTCCCTGAGAACGGAGCTGGAGATAATATCCTTTGAACCCAAATAAAGAAAGATCAATCGGTAAGAAAACAGGGTGGGGAATTTTCCTGCAGACTTTTTGGGGGATTTTCCCAGGGTCTCTTGTCCGCGGGATTTAAAATTATGAATTTGGTGGTCCTCGAGGTCCAAAAAGTTGCGACCACTACTCTAGATGGTAGTCCAGCACATTTCACTCACCGATGACATGATCAGAGGCTGGAATCTGCTCGATTTCTCTTGGTCACCTTAGGCTTGGGTAGACATTTATTCCTTTTCAGTTGCCAGGTCCTGTCTTCCATGGTCCAGCCTATGCTTTCTGAACAGTGGTGGGATTCAAATTGTTTTTACTACCTGTTCTGTGGGCATGGCTTGGTGGGCGTGGCAGGGGAAAGATACCGTAAAATCTCCAATCAGAGGTGGTATTTCGAACTACTCAAAATTTCTGCTACCCGTTCTCCAGAACTGGTCAGAACCTGCTGAATGCCACCTCTGTTTCTGAAGTACTTGAGAGGTCCTGTACAATAATGGGAAGCTATGGCAATTACTTCTAAAGAAGCGCTAGCCTGGAATGAAAAACTTCTTGCAGAAATACTACTCCAGTGTGGAAAGTCAGTTTGATAGGAAAAGAGATTCAGACTCTCACAGCTGAATGTCACCGGTTCTATCTCCAAATGAGTTCTTCAGAAGTTTTCTGCTTCTTCTACCACCACCACCAACAAAAACAACAACAACAAAACAAACAAAGGGCTTTGCTCAGTCCTACTTTTTATTGTTTTTATTTACTCTTCACATTTTTACACATTTCCTACATAGTTTGGCTTACCCAGGAACTTTGTGGGTGCTGCCAGACGTATGCACTCATTGCTCGCACTTTACTATGGTTTTACAGTATTTGGCAAGGATGGTTCTCACTCTTTACCGATTGAGTCATCTCATGCCTTTTCTCTGCTGCTTTGATCTGTCAGGTGGGCTATTTTGGATCAAGGATGTAGTAGTTTGCCTTCAGTAATAACCTGCTTGACAGGTAACAAATTTATTTATTTATTTAGTTCTTTTTTTAATCTCACCTTCATTATTTTTTACAAATAACTCAAGATGGTGAACATATCTAATATTTTTTCCTCTTGCTTTTTTTTTTTACTACAATTACAGCCCTGTGAGGAGGATTGGGAGCTGAGGGAGAATGACTTGTCCAAGGTCACCCAGTTGGCTTTCATAGCTTAAGCAGGACTAGAACTCACAGTCCCCTGGTTTTTAGACTAATGCCTTAACCATTATCTGAATATTTATACAGATAGGTTTTATTTTTCACTGTACTTTTAATTGTTTTATACAGAAAAACACTGAATCATGTAAACTGTTACCTGAAACAAGGTTAGTTGGGGAGAGGGAAGGGATGTAGATGGAAGTAACAGCACAAAGTTAATATTTAACTACACTTTTTAAAACTATTTAACCATTCTGATATGCTGCTTTTTTTTCAATTTTACTTTTTGCCTGGACAGCACAATGTTACAAGGTGGAAAAATAAACCCATATTCTGCTGTGAAAGTAAGCACGTTCTACTTTTTAAATTAAATGCCCAAAGCTGTATTCTCTCCACACAGTCATGAAAACAAGCAATGTCAGGATTAACCCAATACAAATATGAGAGCAGAGCAAGAGTTTTCAGTGTTCAGCTCCATTCAAGACTAGCCAGTTTGTTACCAATTGCTCTTGTTTTGTTCAAAGCAGAAATCCAGTACTTGCCAAGAAAGGGCTTCTGTGGGTGGAGATAGATTTAGCCTGTAAAAATATACTTTGTCCTGACACACAGAATTCATTTCCTGCAAACTATTGCGACATTTCAACAAATTGAAACTAGCAGCTCTGTAAGGACGAGACTTTTACAGGTAAGTACAAATGTTTTCAAATGTTGGTTTTAAAAGAAAAAAAATCTAAACTGAAATCAACGATAGATTTTTTTCCTAAAGCTCTCTCTTTTCTCTGTGTTGCTATTGGCCTACATTTCTATAAATAGAGGATGAGATCTAACTTGGTATTTTGTATTGTGTACTTTGAGCTATACTTCTGTGCTGGGAAATGAAACGCAGCAACAGCTGCAAGATTCTTCTAAATTAGACTCCATCCCAGTGTTCCTTTGGACCAAATAATCAAAGTTGAATATTTGAGTCAATGAGTTCTGGATTACAATTTCTCGTGACTTAGTTCTAAACTAATTTGGGTACGACCACGCTGTAAAATATTTTGTAGAGATTTGAATTAACAAAATACAATATGCATTGCCATCCTTGCCCTTAGGGATCATTACTGAAGATTCTTCTGCATGTTTACATTTATATTTATAAAAGTCCTGGTGGCACATAAGAGCCATGGTGGCACAGTGGTTAGACTGTAGTATTGCAGGCTAATTCTGCAGACTGCCAGAAGTTTGATCCTGACGGGGCATATTGTTGGGGCAATATGCTAACCCTCCACTTACAGAGGGTTGTAAAGTACCAAGAAGCAGTATACAAGCCTAAATGCTATTACTATATTGCCTTGTATTTACATAGCACATCAGGCATGTGCTCCCTGTGGCTAAAATTAGGAAGCAAAGAGAAGAAATCTGCAAGTAAAATTATCGTTGCTACTAATAATACTTGCAACCCAATTTTTAAATGTAAGCTGTAGCAGGCTTCTCTAGATTAAATGTGCTAATATGTACAATATACAAAAAAAGAGCCTTATTCATTTTTTTGCCTGAAATCAAGAAATATTCAAGCTCTGAATTGTATGTTAAAATAATCAAAACCATTTCAAATGTCATTCACTTGAATCTTCCCAGAGTCTACTTATCAAAAGAATGTGTAAACATGGGCAGTATTGTTGTTTAGAAGAGCTATTTATACATCATTTATAGTTATTGTAAGCTATGAAATTTTGCTTCTCATGTAATTAAACTCCTTAGGGCAGTGTTTCTGAACCCTGGCAACTTTAAGATATGCAGACTTCAACTCCCAACTTCCAATTTTGGAAATTGAAGTCTATCTTAAAGTTGCCAGGGTTGAGAAACATTGCCTTTAAGGCAGGGGTCTTCAAACTTGACAGCTTTAAGACTTGTGGACTTCAACTCCCAGAATTCCTTCTCCAGTCATGTTAGCTCCGGAATTCTGGGAGTTGAAGTCCACAAGTCTTAAACTTGCCAAGCTTGACTACTCTTTGTGTATGTAGGTGTGTATGCAAAAGTTTTCACATGCCATTTCATTCATTTCATTTCTCCAGCTGTTTTTCCTCTGTGTGGAAATTAACTAAGAGCAATTCTCATTATCTTCCAATAGCTGGAGAGTAGCTATCATTGGAAACTGCATAAAGCTGGAATATTGACGTATCTCCACCTTGGGGGCTCTGCGGTTTGCATGTATCTGTCTGATCCCTGAGAAAGTATCCTGTGAAGTGGTAGCACTAATTCAGCTGCAATTTCTGCAAGATGTCTTCTTCCTCTTGGATTTGGTTTAATTACTTAAATTCTTCATGTTGGTGATTGCATCACCATGAATTAGGAATATTTAAGGAAGAACTAACCTTGGTTCCAAGAGCAGCTGTCGATAAATATGCTTCTAGAATTCATATTATGAATTCCAAACTGACTTTAATTGGACAATCTTAATCACTTCTTTTCTGCATTAACTTACCCAACAATTCTATAATCCATTTGCAGGAATGTTGACTCTCAAGGTAGATTCATATTGGGGGTGCCAGAAAGACCAAATATAACCTGTGCCTTTCAGACATGGTTACTAGGCATCCAGCAAAAATCTTCCCTTTTTGTCTTCATATCTGGCAGGAAAATAAATTTAATAAATAAATAATAAATAATTGATTACTACCTTTGGGCTGGCTTGGCTGCTACCAGAAATTGACTAAACCACAATCATCTATGAACACCAACTAGCAGTCAGAAGACATGACGAAAACTTCATAATTGCCATGGACATGGACAGACTTAAGCATAGTTTCAATTGGGAAACTGAGCATCCTAAACCAAGCCAAATTCAAAAACACTAGGTAATTTTTGGAAGCTGGTAAGTCAGACAAATCAGCCATCAACAGGCACATACAGATAAACAACATTTGCATACCATTCAAAAAGAGACAATAAAAAAGCTAAAAAGGAAACAAAACATCTCCTCACCAGCAATCAACACCCAGATAAGCAGAGATTAACACCAAGATTAATACTAGATCAACAGCTCACCACTAGACCTAAAACAACAGGAAGGAAACAACAATTAAGGAATTACCAATTCAAACAATCAAATAAACAGTAAACAACAATCTAATCAAGGAACCACCAAACTACTTCCATCAACAGACAGAGCAAGCCACTTGTATATAAACAGAGAGCAAATCCTGCCCACTCCCTTCTAGCACTGATGATGTTACTTAGTTGGGTAATGAAACATCTGCAAGAAAATAACCAAATTCAGAAAACACCAAAGTTCCAACCAGGCGATAATCAGTTACACTCCGAAGGCTTTTGCATCCTAAGTCTCTAGCACATTTCTGTGACTGAAAAATGAGTCTTTCTGATGCTGAGAAAAGTAGTTTCATAAACTGTACATATAGACCTAAGTACATTTTTTGCAGTTTTTTGCTGTAATTTTTATCTGGGATGCTGAGAAAGTAAATAATTAATGTGTCCTCTTTAATGTGTTCCACCATTTGTCCTCTTTTCCAATTTTCCATGTCCTCATTTGCCTGTTTGGATATTCTGGTAATGGTACTAATAGTATAGATTTCCAAATTCCCAGCCAGTTACATCATTGCCATGGTGAATAGTAATCTAGGAGATTGTATTTTAGTCCTTACATAGATAATGGACATTTGGACAGAGAAGACTGAGGCAGACAATAATATTGAGTTTCTTGGTTGCATTTGATTTGTATGTTTTTTAAAACTGTATGAGAGATTCCAGACATGCAAATGGAAATGTAATTAATCTTGCCAGTTTTGCTTTGAACATATTCTTAACCATTGTCCAAACTTTTGTGAATATTGAGTTCGGTATTTGTGACTTCTTAGGCAGAATCTGCTGTCAAGGCAATTATTAAGTTGAAGGTTCAGAGGAAAATGCTGACGTGGGTCTCAGAAATGTTAGACGAGCAAAGAACTTGCTGACTGAAAAGGACTGGTAGCAGAAGGCCCAAGGGGATGGAAGATGAGGGATAATCTCACTCAAGATCTCAAGAAATAAAGTACGAATGGATATATTTTATCAGTAAAAGCAGAGAAAGGAAACAATATTCTTGACAGATTGAGATCGAAGTAAAAGGATGACCAAGAATGTGTATCATAGAATGTACTGAATTAAAAAGCATAGGGGGTTTTTTCTTAGCCTGGTTGGAAGAAATAAAGAACTAAGGAATTTCAGAGTGAAGTTTTCAGAGTTATTTATTTAGTAATTTTATACTGTGTTTATTTCTTTTTAAGTAACAAGGCAGAAAACCTACATAATACCTCTTTGTCCTTCTCTCCGCCCCCCCCAATAACAGAGGTGAAATGCTGTTGGTTTGGCCTGGTTCAGGCAAACTGGTATGTCCGATGATCAGCTGGGTGATGATCAGCTAATCATTGGATTTCTTGCTTTCTAGCTAATCTGAATTGCATGCACAGCTGATCCCCGCTGGCTGTTGTACTTACTTTGGAAGGCTTCAAAATGCTTCTTTTTTCAGTTCCCAGGAGGCTTCCTTGAGGCCCAGGAGACCAAAAATAGGGCGCAGAGGGGTGCTGGCTAAGAAAAAAGACTTTTGACCCATGGTCACATGACCACATAGTCACAGCCACTCAGTCACATGACCACCTGGCCACGCCCACCTGGCTACATCCACAGAACTGGTAGTAAAACAAATTGAATCCCACCACTGCTCTGCAATAACCCTGTGAAGTGAGTTGTGTTGAGAGAGAGCAAATGATTGGCCCAAGGTCACTCAGCTGGCTTTCATTGCTAAAACAGAACTGAAACTCACAGTCTCCTAGTTTCTAGGCTAGCAGCGGAATCACTATACCAACCTGGCTCTTAGATACTTTAAAAAGTAGCTCCACAGAAAGCAAATGTAGCGGATATTTATGAAGTGACTTTAAAAGCTCCCTTAAGCCAAGTTCCCTACTATTAACTATTGAATTGGTTTCCTACATCAGGTCCAACTCTGCTTCCCTTTTTCAAAATCAACTAGAAGCTACTCTCTACTGAAGTTTGAAGAATAGGTAACTATAAGTCCATGAACGGTTGGCCCAGTAGTTACAATGGTGGAAATCAGAGGAGATTTTTACTGTTTCCTTCCCTTGCCATGCCCACTAAGCCATGCCCATCAAGCCATTAAGCCGGTTCTGACTAGTTTTGCAGAACTGGTAGTGGAAATTTTGAGTAATTCAGAGAACCGGCAAATACCACCTCTGATTGGCTCTGCCCCCATCTATTCTCTGCCTCCTGAGTCCCAGCTGATTAGCTGGCTCTTCTTTTGTTGCCCTGCAGAGGAGAACAGAGCTGGAAAGCAGGTGGGTAGAGTGGGGAGGGAATGGGATTTTGCATAACCTTCTCCCAGGAGTGGGGAGGGATTGGAGGTTTTACAGTATCCTTCCCCTGGAGTGGGGTGGGAAAGGAGATTTTTACCATATTCTTCCCTTGCCATGCCCACCAAGCCACGCCCATTAAGCCATGCCCACAGAACCAGTAGTAAATTTTTTTGAATCTCACCACTGGTGGAAATGGATGGTGGCCCTCTGGATTCTGGGAATCCAATAATAGTTGAGGATTAAGAGCCCTTCCCAAGCTATGAGAAAGTAATTTCATTCAGCTCTGATTTCCTATTGGATCTTCATTTTGTTTGTTTTTTTGTAGCCTATCATCAACCTTGGTGAATGATGAAGAGTAATGACTTCTTGCTTAGAGTTAAATAAGGATAAAGTCGAGCTAGGTGCCAACAGAATATTGAACACTCCAGAAACTCACCTGAAACCCACAACACTCCCAGGTGTGGCCCAGACCAGATTAAAATGCATTCATAATTTTATAAGGAAAATAAAATAAAAATACAACAAAATACAAATAATATTACATTCTGAAACTCAATGAGAATAAATTTAATGACCAATCACCCAAACTTCAGGCTTGTGGCTCAGGAAAATTCTCGCACAAACTTACTTCCTAAGTTAAATTGCAGCAGAAAAAAATAGGGCTAACGAGATGCAAGATACTAGATATCCAAACAGGCAAAGGAGGTCATGGATAATTGGAAAGAAGCAGTTCACACTAAATTGAATGTTGCATTGCCCAAACTTTCACTAATTGTGACCTACCTGTATCTTTTCCCCAGATGACCAGCAGGCAGGTGGCCTTACACTGTTAAGTGACCCGCTCCAGACATTAGAGCTTCCAGCGCATAAAGGACTATCTCTCTCCAAAATAGGTGGAAGGAATTCCTCTCCTTTCTTTTTTTTTTTAAAAAGATAGAATGTCCTCCTTCCAAAAGGGGTTGAATTTATACCTGTTGAGTTTCAGGCTGCTTAAGGTCTGTGATCATTACTAACTTTCTAAAGTTGAAAAGTTTTGCAATCATTAATAATTAAAGTTTAAATAAGTGCAAAATACACTAAAAAATATGGGGGACATATCTTAAAAATAAAAGAGAGGGGGTGATTCAAATGAATTTGGTTATACAAGTAGTTCTTGGCTGACAACTACAGTGGGCGCCAGAGAAGTCGTTGTTAAGCCTTGTGGTTGTTACATGAGGCAACGTGCGATCACACTCGATTTTACAACCTATATCTGCTGCAGTTGTTAAGCGAATCACCATTGATTAAGTGAGACATCACATGACTAGGACTTGATGTTTCCTGCTGTCTTCCCCAATGACTTTGCTCATCAAAATCATCTGGGAACATCGCAAAGGTTGACACTATAAAGGAGAGGACCAGTCATCATTTTTTTCAGTGGTATCATAACTTTAAAAAAACCCAATGCTGAATGTGTGGTTCTAAGTGAAGGACTGACTGTAATGCTTTTCTTTCTTTCTTTCTTTCTTTTAAAACTACTCGTTTTGTAGCCCACATATTTTAACTTGATTTGGGGAAAGCTATAAAAAACATTTTTTTCCCCTATACATGGGCTATCAGAAATTAGAAGGGACATTTCAGGGATGTGAAAAGTCAGGCTAGGACAGTGATGGCTTACCTTTTTGTCCTTGCATGCTGAAAATGTGTGCATGCACGCACATGAATGTGCTTGGGTGCCTGCACCCTAATGCAATACATGTGTGACCTCTCAGCCCCCTGCGTATACGTACACGATCCCCCCACACGTGCCCCATGCTTCTGTGCATGCACATCTCCTGTGTGCGCCCTGCCTTCACGCATGCGCAGATACCTGACAATCACCTGGCTGGTGGAAGGTGCATGTGCAGTGGACCTGATCTGGGGTGACAGTTCATGGGCTGGCAGAGATGGCGTGCCATATTTTGCCATCATGGGGCTAGGAGCTGAAGAGGAAGCTTGCATGATAATTTAATGGTAGGGTGGGAGGAAGCTGAGAGTGGGAAAGAAATAATCTATATATCTAACTGTGTATGAATACATGATCACACATACACAAAGACACTGTAAAAATTCAAGGGTCTATAAATATACATAAGTACTAAAAACAAATAGTCAGTTAGTAATAATAAATACAACGATACATTTCTTCTAATGTATTGATTATCCCTTGTTGTGTTAATGTATTAATATACAGTATATATATATACATACATACATACATACATACATACATACATATATATATATATTATCATTTGATTTTTCTACATTTTTGTAGATCTATAATTCAAGGCAGCCAACATACCTAAAAGTCCTCCTATTTTCCCCACAACAACAACCCTTCAAGGCAAGCTGGGTGAAAGACAGGGACTGACTCAAGATCACACAGCTGGCTTTCATTTCATTTTCATTACCCCCAAATTGGGGTATATAAACAAATATACCTGTGTGGTTTTCTAAGTTAAAATACAACATGCAGGGTGCTTATGCAGGGTTTAGTGGTCCCTGTTTCTATTTGAATTTGACACCACTGCTGTTCAGTAGTCTACAGTATAATATTCTGATAGGATGGGCAACAATCACCCCAGAACAATGCCTAAAGGCCCACTAAAGCTCTTTGAGTTTTTTTCCCTTCTAAAAAAATGCTTGAAGATGACACAATATTGTAAGTTTAACTTTTCCCCCCTTAAGTTGAACCTATTATGTTTTTCCAAATTCCCAAGGGATTGCCAGGATCTTAAAAACAGAATTTTAACTAGTCTTAAACTGGTCCCACAATATCACCTCAGAGATGCAGAACTTCCAAAATATCTTCCAAACTATTTCTGGGCAGAAGTTCCTTATTATTACTTAGATTCTTAGACTCTGTTTTCAAAACAGCCTGGCTGGGTGCTCTGTTCTGTAAAAGGCGACCAAGATCTTGTGGCAAAATCTGATAAAAATGCCCTCTCTGAGATGGGACAAGGACTGAGGCTGTTCTTACTTTTCCCATGACTCTTCCTTGTCTTTCCAAAGACGTGAACCAACTTTCTGGGTTTTTTTTGACCTATATATTTAAGCAGGTTGGCGATTACCATGACCATGAGGAGTTTGTTCTCGAATCACAGTCATTATGTTGAAACTTTTCAAGTCTTCCTCAAGAAGTCAACTGAACATCAATGCATACTGGACTTCATTCACAAGAAGCTGCCCCAATTAATATCCAGGTAAATACATGGCAGACATGTTCTTAGAAATGTTTAATAGATGCTTTCGTACATGAGATTGTTGGGAAAAGACTAGATAATCCCAGATTAGAACTGGTTTGGTTCCAGATTTTTGTTGTTTTTAAGGTTTTAATTGGTAGAGTTTTATAATAAAACATTATTTGATATGTCTTTTAATTTTTGATTGGGAGCTGCCCAGTGTTAGTTAAAAGGCGAATGACTATATAAATGTTCTAAATAAATAAAATCAATCTGAGTGAGCATTTTTATGTATTTAGTTGTGTGAAACTTAATTTTTCATTCCACTTAATCTGACCCACTTCTTTCCTTTTTTAAAAAAACCATGTGTTTTATATTTATTTGTTTGCATCTTGCCTTGATTATTTTTACAAATAATTCAAGGCTGCAAACATATCTAATATTTCTTCTCGTCCTATTCCTATATTCAGAACACTTCTCTTTGAAATAGAGTTTGCCGGGGTGGGATCCGACAGGTTTAACTACCAGTTCGGTGATTTACGATGTGCTTCCCTGCACGCTGGTGTAAATCTTCATCAGCTTGCTGCCAGGACAGCTGAGCAGCGCTGCATGCAGGGAAGCAGCATTTGAAAAAGCACTTTTTTCCTGCTTTTTCAACTGCAGTTGTGCCTCGCACGGCAGCTGAGGTTGAAAAAGCAAGAAATAAAGGTCAGGTAAGAGACCGGGCAGGCAGGCCAAAACAGCAGCAGACATAGAACCGGTTCTATGTTTGCTGCTCTTCAGAACTACTGGCTCTACAAAGTCGGACAGAACCGGTAGAATCCCACCCCTGAAGCCCATTAAAAGACAGACTTGATTGTTTCTGTATCTGCAAACAAAACTTAAATATACATGACATGCATTCCCATGTAATATGCAACTTCTATCCACTCCAAACAGTTATAACTTTTGTAACTGTTTGGAGTGGATAACACTGTAGCTATTAATCAATTGGCTTTACATTCAACTGTGGAAAGGGAACTTCACGAAGACAGTAGTATCACAAAAATAGGAAAAGCCCAAGGGGAACATCAGGTCAGCCAGAAAACAAACTTACATAGGAAAAGGAATCAAATAAAAAGTATTAAAGAATCCCTATAGACAAAGGCCTAAGTAATTAAGAAAACTAGACAAATAGGAAAAGGAAACAAAAGATAATTTAGAAAACCCTTACAAACACAGGACATACCAAATAAGCAAAACAAACAGACAAAAGACATGAAATATAAATTACAAAAGGGACAGACAGGAGATTGCCACAGAACAAATATGAAAAACTATCTTAAAGCTAAAAGAGATTAGAGAAAACCAATGATATAATCTGGCCACCCCATGGAGTTTGCCTTCTGCACCCTGTGGAGTTTGCCCTCTGGTGGGAATAAAGACAAACTCAAACAGGATTTGAAACATTAGGCACAAATACAAACACTCACGCAAAATCAACTTACAAAGGGAAAAAAGGGTATAAAAAACCAAGGACTTACCATAAGAAGCTAGCTAGCCCAGGAATGCAGACTTCTCGCTGTTCTCCGCCTTCCTGAAAAATAAAAAGATCCAGCTTTCAAGCAGTTGTCCGTATCCTTGCGCCGGAGCTCTCCCAGGGGGAAAATCGAATCCTTGAAAGAAGGGCATTTTGACACCTTTCAACACAACAAAAATCAGTTTGGTAATGCCATAAATATTCTTATTCTTTCCTTTGCATGCTTTTTTAAAGTCATGTTGTTGGTCCAACATGGGACAAATAAATAAAAGAATAAAGAAGTATATCCTGCTTTCCTCCAAATACTTTGAATAGAATAACTAATATAACTATTAGATATTTTACTATATTCCTCACACTAATCTTATAAAGAAAGTTACGCTGAGAGAGAGGAACCTGTTCAAGTCATTCAGGGAATTTCATAGTTGAGAATTGTTGAGTACAAAGAGTTTTTCAAAATTCCTTACTAAACTAGTGAGCAGCGATATTGGCTAGAGCAGGGGTGGGTAACTATATGGCTTGCTCAGGAATTCTGGGAGTTGAAATCCACAGGTCATAAAGGGGCCATAGGTCTATGGAGATTCTCAGTCCTCCAGGTTGCGGTTGTCCCAAAGATGCTTTTCCAAAAGGCAACTGGACTTCCTTGGTTCTTTTCCCTTGAAAATGTTTTGTGTCTCATCTAAGAGGCAGGTGAACTTAAGAAGCTTCTTTTCAAGGAGAAAAAAGAAAGAAAATCCAGTTGCCTTTTAAACAACACCTTTTGGATAAATGGGCCACAAATACCCATCTCAAGAATAGAAGATTGTCAATATATTTATGAACTGGAATAGAGCTTGGTAACAAGGTCAGCCAATGAATGAGCATAGTAACAAAGTCAGCCAATGAGGACTGTTTTGGAAACTGAAACTAAAAGTAGCCTAGGAGTGGCTCTCCGTTAAGCTCTGCAACTCTGCAGCTGTGTTAAACTCTGAGTCTGTCTGTTGAAGACGAAACTAACTTGCTCGCTGAAGACTAGAGCTCTGGTCTGAACTTGCAACATGTTTCTGTTTGAGTTTGCTCCATGTTGGAGAAATCTACAACTGGTTTGTAAAATCTTATTATGTATATAAAAACATTAAATGAAGCATCAGCCATCTGTGTTTATTTTTCTGGCGCTGAATTATTGCTGCAAAACTCTCAGTAAAGATGTCTACAGATTTCCCCATTCGAAGGAGAACCCCAATTCCAATTTCCTTAAAAGCAGAAGTATTGAAAAGCCCAGTGGGGCAAATCCCCTTGCATCCAAGACTGGGAAGCCAAAAGGGTTACACATGACTGGAGAAATTATTGTACAATGAACATCAGATTGTTGTTATATACATCCTTTGACCATCTGAATCGGTGCAATGTACTTCACCCATAAAAAGAATCCCAAAATCTCTTCTCCTTTAAAATAAATATAAAAAGTGAATCCTCTTCCATCAGATTCTCGGATTCAATGAGAAAACAAACAAACAAGAGAATCTCTCCCTCCAGCACTAATGGATCTCTCTAGCAGGATTCAAAATTCCCATCAATGTATCCCAGTAGCATTGTATTTTATTTACATTTCTTTTTGCTGGTTGACGTATTCATCTAGAGGAGCTGAAAAGACTTCCGGCTCTTGTTTGTCTGCTACATAGTTCAGTTTAGGTGTAAGCAATACATGCTTCTTTCTTTTAATAGCTCAAATCACTGAAAATTAAACTTGTTTCTAATCACAGGTCTGCAGTCCATCTGCATGGCCCCATCCTGACCCCCCCTTAATGAATCACATCAGGCTGGAATAAAAGATTAGGAAGTGCCTAGAGGACATTTCCTAGAAATGTGTGTCACCAGACTCTTTGAACAGCTTTTGATGTTATGAATTTGTCCTTCCCTCCTAGCATCAGCAATGGAAAAACTGATATCAACGTTCTAAGTGTCGGCGGTGGTTCAGGTGAGTCAAACTACAAAGGTATTATTTAGCCATCTGAATTATGGATGCTGTTAGCTATGCAGGATATTATATTACATTCATGTACTTGGAGGAACTCAGAAATAATTTAAAATATACCTCCCGGCAAAAGGATGTTCTGCAATGTGGGGATGAATGGGCAAAAAAGAATCAGATAATGACAATAACATGAACATTAAACCTATATATAGAATCAGACACTCTCAGACACACTGATTTTGTTTCATATAATTTTGCAGGAGACTGGGATGTTGGCTAGCCAAAAAAGGAAAAGTTTAGGATGGGGCTTTTTAATTTCTTATTCTGTATTTCATTTATTTTGTGACAAATGACTTTTTAAGCATCTAGGGAAGGCTTTCTGGATAAGGCCAAGACCCATCTTAGTCTAGCATTTTTTAAAAAAAATATAGTTTATTAATTTTACAATTAAAACCAACCGACAATACATACACAAATAAACTGAAGAAAGGAAAGGGGGAAAGGAAAGCAAAAAAAGAAAAATTTAGAGAAGAGAGAGAAAGGGAAATAGAAAGAAAAAGAACAAGAAGAGAAAGAAAAAAAAGGAAAAGAAGAAAGTTAAAAGCATTCTTATTTTTTACAGTTTGCAAGGTCTTTTTTCCATAACCTTAATTTGTGTCATGTTCACACACCTGTTCTTTATTTATATCACTATCTCATTGTTGTAGGTTAATATTTTTCTCTTATGCCTTATAAAATATAATTTATCTTTGGTCAATCCAATTATACCAGCATTCCCAGCTATCATAATATAGTGAAGTATCTTTGTTTTTTAGTGCCAGAGTCAGTTTAGTCTAGCATTTTGATTCCCATGATGACCAACCAGGTTCTGTGGGACTTGCGGGTTCTCCAGGACTCACATTTTCACTGGTGAAGGCCAAGGGTTTTGCCCAGCTTCAGTTGGTACACTAGTTACAATCCTTTCTGACTTAGAGTAACTTTATGACAGTGACTTATGCTCTTAGATGAATGTAGCACACTTTATACAAGGCTGCTGCCTTTGGGTAAAGTCTAGAAAGCAAAGTGCAGTTGTGCAAGAAATAAGGATCCAGACGGTGAAGGTGATGATATTGCCTGCCGGTAGGTTTCTAAGCAACCTTCTGGTGTTCACCTACATGCCCCAGCTCCTGTTTACATGCAGGACCATTTCTTCTAACTATAACTCTCTTATTTGGGACTATCATCCCAAGACCGAATGAGTCATTATGACTTAAGTCATAAATTATTATGGAAACTTAATCCCCCCCAAAACGAACAAAACCCTGAAAAGCAGCAATTAAACCTTAAAATGTCTTCCTTTGTTCATGATGAAGAACTTGGTCCACACTGTAGCAGTAAAAAGAGCTGCTGGCATCCTTATTTATTGACCTGACTTCTATGGCAAACTTTGAGACTTGTGGACTTCAACTCCCAGAATTCCTGAGCTAACATGACTGGAGGAGGAATTCTGGAAGTTGAAGTCCACAAGTCTTAAAGTTGCCAAGTTTGAAGACCCCTCTTCTATGCATACATTTCTTTGGCTCAAGAGCTACACTACATTTTATGTAATAGATCAAGAATCTTATTCTGAAAGTGGTAGAGCCAGGACACAGGTATGTGTGTGTTAAGGAGGGAAATGGGTACCTGAAGACTCTGTGAGACTTTTGTTCATTAGCCTCCCTCTTCAAAATAGTGCAAAAAGGGGGCTCAACCTTTTGGAGAGCTGCCATATTGATCAGGACAGATCACTCTTTTTTTCACCCATGTAAATCAATAATAAAGAAAAACTCCAAACTCCCTTGCTATGAAACAAATATTTGCCTGTAGTCTTAAAATCAATGTAATAACTCTAATATTTTAGAATAATTATCAATGATAATCACTGAAGTGGACTTTAAATATCATACCATACCACACCACACCACACCACACCACACCACACCACACCATGAAACATTAAAAAAAAACTACAGAAAACTGACAATGGAAAAAGACCTAGTGATCGATCAAATCTGCCCTTTGAGGGTTTTTTTAAAAAAATATTTATTTTTTTAAATTTTGGTTGGGTGATGGATATGTCTTCATCCCAAGTATGTTTAAAGTAATTTACCGATGATTGACCTACTACCTCATCAGAAGTTGGTTCCAAGCTTCCACTACTCTTTCTGCAAAGTAATACATTCAAAGGGCTGCCATGCCATACCATACCATAACATACTAATTTTGTTATGTTATTCACTGGATAACACCAGAAGAAAGATTGCACAACTCATGAAGGCAGTGATATTTATTTATAGGGCTGGTAGCTGATAGCTTAAAAGTAAGAGGCAAATAATAAGATTTCAAATGATTAAGAACCTGGCCAGAATTGGCTATTTTATAGGACCAGATGAACTCCATTATCTGATCCCCATTCAACTATTAGTATCTGTGGTAGGCTACTGGTATGCAGAAAAATCATGTTAAGAGTTACCAGACTCTGTATATGATGACTTAGGCCAGTTCCTAGATCCTTTGTTCAGTATTTATTTTTTAATGGCAAAGTGTCTGGGCAGCAGAGAAGAAAAGTGAGGAATACATGTAGAATGCTAGTTGCTCAATGTGCTCCAAAGTTTTCACACATTTCTTATTCATTTGAATGATTTATTTAAAAAACATTTCAACTCTGTTTCCCAGCTGTTCATTATGCTAGCGTTGATAATCTGTATGGAAAAGCTTGTGAGAGCAAAATGCTACATTAGCAAAACTAGGAATGCAGGCAGGGTAACTTTAAATGGTCATAAGAATAGTGAGGTGGTGTCATTCCTAATCTATAAAGAAGTGTTTTCTGCTTACAGCTTATATCTTATTAATGTGGTCAACTGCACCCCCTCCTAATCAAAGAAGACATTTACTGTGTAGTAAAATAGTGATTCTATTCTAAACAATCTATTTCCTTGAAACATTTAATAGGTAATTTAATGGTGAACATTATAGTAGCCCCTTAAAGGTAATTGTATCAGAGTCCTTAAATAATTTCTAGAGCTTTAACTGATAGTTGTCAATTGATTTTCAGGCTGCCGGAGAACTGGTTCTGAAATGCCCCAAAGCCCTTGTTTGCATATAAATAACTAAATGAACTCAATTAAGGTAGAAGATTAAATTACAAATCAGATCGTTTGAGGTAAAGAGGAGCTTTAAAAATAACCGAAGGCAATGGATTAGTTTCTTGTGAATGGGAATGAATACATTATCCATTCAATCAATAAACATACAAGATCTCCAGATGAGTCGATAACAGCTTCAGTTATCCCCAATCAGCCTGACCATATTGGCTAGGAATGATGCACCTGAAGAGCACTAGGCTGTCTTAAGATAGTTCAATAATGATGGAATCTGGCATTGGCTTCCATCTTCTGCATGTAAGTTTAAGGGGATCTTTGAGCAAACCCAACATAAATGCAATGCTGTCACATGCAATGCCATCCGCATTTTATTTCTTTTTTTCCTTTCTATTATAATGAATTGTTTTTGCATTGTGCCCTTAAACCTCTGTTTAGAATTGGCTAGCACTGAATAGCTGCCAATTATGAGTAGGTCTAGCCATCTATCTATCTCAGCCTCTGGATATGATAGATCCATTCCACTTCTTTGTAAAGAATCATATACATAGTTGAGATGATGGACAGGTGGATGGAGGGATCCTTATTAAAGGATCATAGTGTAAAGTATCTTCTAAAAGCGATACAAATGATAGATTTTGTTAAGCCTTTGTAGGCATCGATGTCACAATTATAGATTGGAATATCATAAACAATTTTGATCCCAATACTTTCGAAAAGATATTATAGAGCTAAGAATACATGTAAGATGATCAGCAAAAATGATGAAAAATAATTGGTCTAGGAATAAAAATATGCACCAACAAATTATTTGTGTGCCCAATCACACTTGGTCAATAAAGAATTCTATGTCTGTCTGTCTGTCTGTCTGTCTGTCTGTCTGTCTGTCTGTCTAAACGAAGACAAGATGGGAAAAAATTGTATATCTGGTCTGGAAAAAATCAAATTCTTTTTTTCTTTCTCTCAATGAAGCACACAGTAGAGATTAAAGTAATGCTTCTATACACAAAATATAATAAAAATACATTTGCTGCATATGTGATGGCAGCAGAATTGGGACAGTTTTTAAAGTAGATTAAAATAACTTCATGAGTATAAAACTATTATGTATAAAACTAATGAGTAGTAGTCATGGTGGCTCTTCATCAACATCAGGTTCCGAAGCAGATTGCTTATTGATTCCATTTGCTGGTGTAACACAATTGATAGAGTCCTATTTTACTCACACTTTGTTTGCGAGATTCATACGAGTTATCAAAAGAATGACTACTTACATCTAGCCCAATGTAGTTGTTCTAATATTCAGCCATCATAGTAGAATTGTCTCACGCTCCTAATAATGATGGGATCATGTAACTTGATCATTACAGAGCAATGCTTTTCATCTGTCATTCGCTATATGCCATTTGGAAACTAATTTAACATTTGCATAGGAACCAAGTAAACCCGCACACACTTCGAACAAGAAAAATTATATTAGTTTGGTTTCTTTGTTCTTCTTTGTGTTTTAGGGGAAATTGACCTTGAGATTCTTGCACGATTGCAGTCGGACTATCCTGGTGTGATCATTCATAACGATGTGATAGAACCAAACGCAGAACAAATAAACAGTTACAAAGGTATGTTTAATACTGCAGCTTCTGCTAAGCTTCACATCACTGATCCGTTTGCCCCTCGGTGTTCTAGAGTTTGTTATGAAAATAATGTGCTATTGAAATGTTTCTCTGAAACATCCATTTATCACATTTCCACTGAAAGGGAGGAAGAGATACAGCCTGATGTTTCTCAGCGTGGTGGCAAACCAGAGGGTGCAAATCCCTGCTTACGTGACAGCCAACACAATGCAGTATTAATGCTACTTAAATGAAAAGGGGAAATGTTGACACTGTTATTTGAGAAAAAAAAATAGGGATTAACTTTCTGAAACTTCAAGCCAGGACACAAATATTGATTTTCTTCCATGAGTTGAGGGAGGACAAGGCTGCTTTCTTGAGACCATTGGTGTTCTTGGAATTTTGAAAAGCCTTAAAATAGCTGCTCTGCTTTCCGAGGTTGTATACACTATACAATCTTAAAACCCTCACCTATTGAAAGACAAATTAGCTGGTTATTCTTGCCACCTTGCCAGCTCCATTCCTACTTATTTCTGACTTCTTATAAGCAGGTAGGTAGCAATCAAACAACGAAAAATGTTTAACTTGATAGGATGCCTATAAGGCCTTCTTAGAAGTAAAGTGAAGCTAAAAACTGGCATACGCCTTGCCACATGCTATTTTCTGCAAAGGCTTCTGCACTGTGAAGCCTGGTAGATGCCAAGGGTGGTGTGTCCACAGACATAGTGGATGCCCGTAGGGATGACATTTCCTATTCTGCTGTGAACTCTGTCTTTGTTTTACAAGGCTACTCATAACACAGTGTTAAGTTTGGCTACATACATAGCAAAATTCGTATTTCCATTTAGGGAAAGAGTTCTTCTCTTGCAGGTTTTCAAATCATCTTTGGTAAGCACCCAACCCATGTTTAGCATATTGATAGACATTAGCTTTCTTCTCATTCTTCAATTGACTGTGTATCAACTGCCTGATAATGAAATAAAAAGCAGTTCTGGGGCATGTTATCGTCACTGTCGATATGGATTACTTGCAGAACGATGTCTGGGCTTAAAATACACAGAATTTCATTGTGGTCATAGAGCCTAGGAACCAATAATGGAAGAGGGATGAGCAACAGCTGCTGCAGTTAAAAATGAGACCACTCCCACCTAGACATTGTCCACATATATAGTATGCAGCACAGGTGCTACTAAATCCAAAGTCATTATTACAGGGCAAGAAAAAATAATAAAGCACCACTGAAACCAGAAATACATAACAAATAATCATCACCCTGTTGCTGAATCTTGACAATGTCCTTAATGCTGTCCCAAATACAATGTTAATAGCCTTTCTGAAGAAGAAAACTCTACTTTCAACTATAGGTAGTCCTCAACTTACAATGATTTGTTTAGTGACCATTTGAAGTTACAATGCCACTGAAAAAGTAACTTATGACCGTATTTCACCTTTATATAGTTGCAATATCCTCATGGTCACCCGATCAAAATTCAGATACTTGGCAACTGACTCTTATTTATGAGGGTTTTAGTATCTTGGGGTCATGTGATCACCTTTTGTGTTCTTCTGACAAGCAAAGTCAATGGGAAAGCCACATTCACTTAACAGCCCCATCACTAACTTAATAACTACAGTGATTCACTTAACAATTTTGGCAAGAAAAGTCATTAAATGGTGTAAAACTTACTTAATGACTGTCTCACTTACCAACTTGGGCTCAATTTGTGGTGGTAAGCCAAGGACTACTGGTATTAGAGAGGAAAGGATCTCTGGATCATGCCATCTTGCCACCTTTACAAATGGGAGATTTCACTCTTTTCTGGGATGAGTGAATGGAATGGGCTACTTCTACCTGAACGAGGTGTCCATGAGTAACCTGGAAGTCCACCTTTATAGGTTAAAAAAAAATAACATTTTATATTGAATCAAGAAATTCACTGAAGCCCATAAAACACCTCTAAGACCTGGCTTATGAGGCAATAACCTTCTGTACTATCTTCAAAGACAAGCCCATGTAAAGCACACTGCAGTAATCTGGTGTCCAATAGGAAATTTTTTAAAAAAGCATAGGTTAGAGGGGAGGAATAAGCAAAGAGAGAACATTTCTCATCTTCGCAGGGAGGTATCATAATCAGAACCTTGAGAAAAGTAATATTTCCTTTTCTGTGTTAAGTCAGCGTCTGTGATGTTCTGAATGTTCTGTTGCATGTACTCAGGATTTCAGGTCACGTAACAGAACCTGAAATAATGGAATCGTGGTTGAGACAGCCTTATAGTATCAGTGATGGAGATCTTTATTGCTTTTGGGGAGAAAAGAAAGCCACATCTTTTATGAGTTTTCAGTGACACAATAGTAGGCACTGTCTCCTTGTACTGGAAATTAAGAGAATATTGCAATCAAGAAAATATTCCAATTATTGTTTCAAGGTCCCTTAGTTTTCAAGCTGGTACTGAAATCAGAGTTGATTTCACAAGGAAATGTCAAATTACAACACAGTAGGATTAAGCTCTAGGTCAAGATTAGAGAATTTGTGGCTTTTTGGTTTTTATGAAATTACAACTTTTATTAGCTACACCATGATGGCTAATTGTGCAAGATGCTAGGTACCGTAATTTCATAACAACACAAAGAATACAGATTTCCATCCTTCTCGAAAGTCTTAAACCAAACTTTCACAATTTTTAAAAAAAGATCAAAAACCAGTTTTAGGATATATAAAAATAATGAAGTCATAGTTCAGAGTAATAATCTTATCTCATCTTAAATATTAGCAGTTTTATGACAACATCTTTGGGGCATTTTCACAGAGAAAGAGAGAGAGAGAGAGAGAGAGAGAGAGAGAGAGAGAGAGAGTATCTAGAAGCCTGGCACGCTGACAAATCAACCATCAATAGACACATAGACATTAACTTCATATCTACACTATGCAAAAGAGATAATCAATTCATCAGTCCAATCACTCCAGAACCTCTCCATCACTAATCAGCACTCGGATCAACATAGATTAACTCCAAAGTTAACTTCAGACCAACAATCAAGTAAACAAGTAAGCAATCAAGTAAGCAATCAAGAAACTGCCAAAGAGCCATCAGTAAACAGCCCAACCAAAGAATCCATAACCCTAACCCTAACTGCACCCACAGAGACAGGCAGGACACCAGAATCTAAACTGAGAGCAAACAGCACTCCTTACTAGCATGGATGATGTTAGCTGGTTAGGGAGGGCAATGAAATGTCTGCAAAAAAACAAACAAGCTCAGAGAGCACCAAGGATACGCCCCCCTTCCCGCTTCCTAAAATAAATCATATTTTCCAAAATGAGATAATACGAATACATTGTTGATCTATATTGAAGTCCTGCAAGTGTTAGAGATCTAGACCAGATTCCAGAAAAAAAAAACATAGCAAAATGTACCTCTTTCTATATTAAAGTAAAGAAAGGACAGCAGCCGAGAATTGGCCTCACCAATGGCATCAATGTCATATTAAAAATACATGGCTTTCAGCTGCTTTAAAAAGACTGAAATGAAAATGTATTCCATATTCGCAAATGAGATAAACTGTGGAGCTATCACATTTCAGAATGTGTTGCAAAGACACCAGATCTCAAGAACGTAAAGTTCACTTGGCACAAAGAGACATCCCTGGAATATGAAAATCGAATTATGGACAGCAAAGAGACGGGGAAATGGAATTTCATCCACATGATCCAGGTAGAACAAAGCACATTATTATGTAGCCAGACCACTGTTACTGAGACATTACATTAATGGGCTATTTTTCATGCATGGTGTATTAGTTTAATATTACAAATTTGCTCTTTTTATTTATAAACTATTTTCTCTCGCTGTAGTTTTACCTTCCTGACCTGATAGTTATCCTGCTCTGTAGAAATTGGGATGGGTGGGAGATATAACTCAACATATAGACAGGAAATTTTTTGCAAATATTTGAATTATAAAATATGCAAAATATTTCAATCATTTAACAAAACATTCCAAGGAATCTGCAAACCCATTGTTGAAAGAAATGTCCTTCTGGGTTCAGTTCCAAGTGGGGAAAAAGACACTGGAAACATGGAGGCTATTTGGAAAGATGGTTTAATGGTGGACAGCAGGACCACATGGCTTGGAGCCCCAAAGTGAAAAAGAAAGGATGATCATATACTTTAAGGTGAGAAGGTCAAGAAGGGAAGACCAAGATGCTAAGAGACCCTTATATAACCTCTGTTGGGCCCTACCTTAGTGTTTCCTGTTCCTGTGTAAGAAATATATCCCATTGGCTGTCAGACTGCCAGGGGCAGGGTCTTAGCTAACTTTGTAGGCTTTTTCTGGACCACATGGCTTCACCTGAGTGTTGGCTGATACAATCTTCCCAGGTCAGGTGGTGAGATGGGTAGAGGCCTTTATTATGTAGAATACTCTGGCCTAGGCCTTAATGGCCCATTAGCAAAGGTGGTGGGGGCTGAGTTTCTGCTTCTCTGAGTTTCTATTTTACTCTTTTTAGGGGAAATAGTCTGCCTTTTTAATATTCCCAGGATATTTCATTTTTCTAGAAGAGGGGTGGGTGCTAACTTCCTACACCATCTCACCTTGAAATGATCCTTCTCATTTTTAGATGCTGTATTATGTAAACGACATGCCAGCAACCATTAGATTCTTTCACAGCCTCTTGGAACCTGGGGCCAAACTCCTCATTATTCTTGTTTCAGGTAGGTTCAAAGCCGAATCCTAAGACATCTGGTTTGTGTAATTGTGGTATTTTATTATTTAGGTACTACAGGTAGTCCTCAACTTACGACCATAATTCAGCCCAACATTTCTGTAGCTAAGTGAGATATTTGTTAAGTGCATCCTGCCTCACTTTATGACTTTTCTTGCCACAGTTAAGTGAATGACTGCAGTTGTTAAATTAGTAACACAGTTATTAAATGAATGTGGCTCAGATGGTTGCAAAAAGTGATCACATGACCCCAGGACACTGCAACCATTATAAATATGAGTCAGTTGCCAAGTGTCTGAAGTTAGATCACATGACCATGGGGAATGCTACAATGGTCATAAGCGTGAAAAATGGCCAAAAGTCACTTTTTTTTCAGTGAAATAATAACTGAACAGTCATTAAGTGAACTATTGTAAGTTGTGAAATGCCTGTATTGAAGTAGTAGTCCATAATGTGCACCATATAAAAGTGTTATATTGGCCACCAGGAGGCACTATAGGACTACTTTCAACCTATTTGGGAATCGACAGACATGTGTAGCCAGAGGTTAGTCTATGGCAGGGTTATGCAATTAACTTTCCCAAGAGGCCCTGTCAGAAACTGGAACTGTGGTATGAAGGGCTGAACCAATAGGGCTGTGAAGGTGCATATGCGTGCACGCACGCACACACACACACACACACATATGTAAAAACTAAAGTAGTTATTTGTCAACTTTTTAAACCTTGATCCAGAAACTGACATATGAAATCAGCCAGCTTTTCCCCATGTACTCTCTGTCTTATAGTACAGTTAGTCATGTTTCTATTTCTTTGCAAAGAAAACCCAGCTATGTCACCAGGAATGCTGCTCCGCGTGTGCATAGTGAAAACCAGGTTGTATTAAAATATGATTTGCTGATTTGCTGAACTTTCATTTTGTGGATATAAAAAGTGAGCTACAAAAAATTATAAAGTGACCGTATCAATATAAAGATAACCCCAAATAATTCATTAGTCCCACTGAACTTGAAATATATTTGTGGAGTACCAGAGCAGATGCTAAAAAGAGGAAAGGGACAAGGTCTGAAACACTTAATTCATAGGCGTGGGGGATCCAATTTCTATTAATGAATTCATTCATGTGATTTTTTTTCAGAATGACACCCATAACACTTGACTGCATGTGGCAATAAGCATATAGCTAGGAAGTTTTCTCCCATCTATTTGGCTGGCTCATTTCCATGTTAAAACTCTTCATTTCATTCAATATTGTGATGCTAGATTCTAGCCCACACTAGAATGGTTATGTCTGAATAAGAAAGATATATTCAGATTATCTGAAAAATGAAATATCAGTGATTGAAATAATGAAGCATTTGTTTTTTATCTGGTAAAGCAAATAACATTTTTTAGGATTAGTGCCTAATGCAAGTCTTATGGGTACAAACAGCCAAAGTTAAGCACTTTCGGGTTTCATTGATTTCACAGTTTGTATTTGTTATTCTTGGGTTTATGTTGTGAACAGAACAATATGTACACAGGAACAAGGAGAGGGGTGGAAAAGAAAGATGGGTTTATCAAATACCACTCACAAAATAGCAGTCTAATAATACAGAGCAATTATCATGGCAGGATCTATAGAACCCGACTCAATAGGACTCTTATGAACACAACACTTCCCCTAGATTTTTGAAAGTTATTTGACTGGTTATGTTTTCAGTGAAAACAAAAACAATATTTTTTGTCAAATGCTTAGCTGGTAGCAAAACATTGCGCCCTTAACCTGGAAGTACGAAATTAGGGATTATTTCTCATTTTATTTTACTAACTTCATATGTCTGAGTGCTATTGCTAAAGTAAGGATAGTTTTTAAATCTTAAAATAATCACATACATAAAAAGTAAAGGTTCCCCTCGCACATACGTGCTAGTCATTTCTGGCTCTAGGGGGTGGTGCTCATCTCTTTTACAAAGCCGAAGAGCCAGTGCTGTCCGAAGACGTCTCCATGGTCATGTGGCTGGCATGACTAAACAACGAAGGTGCACAGAATGCTGTTACCTTCCCCTCAAAGTGGTCCCTATTTTTCTACTTGCATTTTTACATGCTTTCAAATTGCTAGGTTGGCAGAAGCTGGGACAAGTAAGAGTAACAAGTAACACTCCTTTACCTGGTGCTAGGGATTTGAACCGCCGAACTGCCAACCTTTCTGATCGACAAGCTCAGTGTCTTAGTATATATTATATACATACAGTTAGACACGATGAAGGGCATTCTTAGATTCAAATCACAGAGATGTGTATACATAAGCAGTACCCTAAAGAAACAGGACATCTCATGCATCAAATATATGTCTGGGCTACATCTTTGTAGACAGAAGATACATCATTGAACACCCTTTTCTCTTAATATGTGCATATTGAAAGTGAGTTAATCAGGGAGAAGATACCATATTAGACATCAAGTGCTGACTTTACACTTACAAGAGAGATATAATCTTAAAAGCTGTACTTCAGAATAATTACTGATAAGTACCCGGATGCAAAACAAATATATACAGCAACCCAAACGTTATATTGATTATCTACCCTTTGCTGATAAATCTTGAAGCATCTGAAGAGAAAGGGGACATTTACAAGAAATTAGAAAAAGAAAAAGAAAAAAAAGGTAAATGTATTCTGACCTGATTTTGGATATTTTGAGTTGTTGACTTTTTAAAAACTCAAAATATTTTTCTCTCCCAAGCCTGGCACCCTTATTACATTTTGAATCTTACCCTTATTTCTCTCTTCTCCAGCATACTTAGCAGGCACAAAGAATGCAACAGGTAGGTGTGCAGAAACTCTAAGTCAGGAATGTCCAACCTTGGCAACTTTAAGATTTGTGGACTTCAACTCCCAGAATCCCCCAACCAGCATGGACACCCCTGCTCTTAGCTAACTGAATCTAGGGCACCTCTCAGAAAATGTTTATGGGGGCATCTGTTGGAACTGAGATACATCCATGTGCAATTTCTTTTCTGGCAGCTGTTCCTCACTTGAGTAAAAGATAACAAAAGAAAGAAGACAACCAAAGACAATCAGTTAAGAAAAAGATGCGTTATTCCATCATTCAGAATGAATTGTGTGAGGTACAACAGAGTAGATAAACATCAAAAGAGGTGAATGAGCAGCGGAACAGAAGAAGCCTTTGCTAAAATAAGACTACCCTCAACGTAGTCCATAAAACAACCTCTAGCACTTTGGTACCAAGTCTTATGTCGAAAGCTCTCTGGTACTGTTCCTTGCAGTGCAGCCTGCCTGAGGAGGGATTCCTGGTGAGTTGTGCTCAGTGCACCATTTGCCTCCTCATCTAATTAAAAAAAAAGTATATCATGTGAAATGGAGAGTAGGAATTTGTTAAGAAGCATGCAGGACATCAGCTCTGCCCATAATTCAGTTGTCAGTGAAACCAGGCCAGCTATGAAGAAAGATATAGGATTGTTTTTAAAGATAATATCCTCCTCTCGCAGCCAGTTTGCCACAAAGTCTTAAAAAACACAAGTCTAGCACCGTATGTTGCATCTACAGGGAGTGATTATAATAATGTGCCAGTCAGGTGGTGTATAATTGTTCCGTTTCAGAAATGGCATTGAGTCACAGAACATTGACACCAGTGCATTCCTCGCAATTAGTGCTCGGCATTCATTTCCGACCACTGGGGGAGGGAGAGACAGGGAAAGAATAAATAACACAAATTTGTTGTGCAGCATCCATTTAAAGCTGACAATGTTTATGTTTCCGAAAGAAACTCTTTCAAGACTGACTGTTTTCCTCCCCCTCCCAAAAAGGCAGACAAGTAGCTTTATTAACATGGGGGATTTGCAGTCATACTTCTCAGCAGGCCCTCATTAGTCCTGAATTTATTGCTTTCCCATCCAAAGGGGCCAGGAGCTTTGGCTTTTTATAAATGATTCACATCAGAAATGCTGAATCATGCCACCAAGGGTACCAAATAAATGAATTAGCCTGGTGCCCCTTCCTACTGTTCCTGCTAATATATTTCTCTCTCTTTTTCTCTCTCTCTCTCTGTGGTAATATCTGTATATCTAACATGCAACCAATTCTTAAATAAAAATAGCTCCTTTCTCACTGCAAGGGTGGCCAGCTGGGTGACCTAAGATTGCCAAACATTTTAAATAATTTGGGACATCGTTATAATAGAATTTCATGAATATAATGGAGCCCTCCTACCCTGTCATCTTGTCACTCTATACAACTTTATGGAAACTACATTAAAGTCTCATGCAGCCCTGGCTTATTTTAGGCCTACTGTAAATCAGAATGATCCTTTGTCAAATTTTCTTGCTTCTCAGTCTCCATGGATGCTTCTGAATTAATTACAATTTGCCTATATTGGGAGCATATATAAGTCGATCTCTCAGATAAATCATATGAAAGTTAATTAGATTTTAATTAATCATGACTGAAGCTGTATCATGATGCATACGTGCACTACACGGACTTCCTTTCCAGTAAACCACCAGGTTTAGGCCGAATGTACTATTTTCCTGCTTTAATGGACTGACATGAACCTTTGCTGATCTAATATACTTTGGATGTGACTGAGAATTTGGGGAATTAAAGTCTAAAACATTAGGTGGGAGAAAGCCAACTTCATCTCAATTAAAATATTTGTTTATAAGATTTCTGCCTCAGATTTTGAAAGCTAGTAGACAGTCTCTGGACCCCATTTTAAAGCTGGTATATTCAAATTATGTTAAATAGGGATTATAGCTGGACCTTGAATTATGATCATAATGACATCTGCCCATCATAGACTTAAGTCATGACAGACATAAAGTGACCCATGGGACTGACCCAATTTTATGACCTCTTTGGCAGCGATTGTTAAATAAAGCAATAAAGTTCACTATGGGTGTGGTTTTGCCAAAAATAGAAGTAAATGTTGTTTTTTGGCAAAACCATTTTAAAATGTGATCATGTGATTGTGGGACGCTACAAACAGCTGTAAATGCAGTCTGGTTGCTGAGTGTCTGACATATAGTCACGTGATGGGGGGGAGCAAAACATTGGAAATTTGAATCTGGATTGTGAGTACCCCTAGGGAGGTCCATTGTAACTTCAATAGTCACTAAGTAACTGGTTGCAAGTCGAGGACTACCTCTATTTTCTATAGGTAGAAAGGAGAATGCAGCTTTGAAGTTCAGGATCTCTTCTGTAACATATAGACACACATACATACACACATTTCCACATGTCCTTGTTGTTCTACCAGACACATAAACAGCTATCATTGTAAGAAATTAATTTCCCATTCTTCAGAAAGGATATACTTCGATACTATATGATGAGATAACCTAAGAAAAGGTAATTGTTATTTACATAATACCTTATCTCAAAACCTTTCCCTCAATGTCTAACATCTGATTGCAGATTCAAAGGATGACTTTAAACCTGAATAAATGTAAACTAAAGTCAAGAGCTCTTGAGAGACACAGGGAGAGAAATGAGTGTGAAAATACCCAAATCTTTCTCCCTCTTCCAATAAAAGTGTTTTATCTGAAATGTACAGTTATGTGTAGTGATCAAAGCCTTTCACTGCTACAATGATTTCACTAGCCCCTTGAGCAATTGCTTCCAAAATGGCTGTTCAGCCCAGCTCTAAACCTGCTCTTCTAGATGATTTGGAGATTTATCAACCAGTTTTTGATTTATTTGTATGGGGTGGAGAGGAGTCAATCATGAGATCAGGTCGGGCCTCAGTGATGTTCCCATTCATGTTTGGAAATGATCTTCAGCTTCTAAATTAGGTACAAAGCTGCAGCAGCACTGAGAGAGATTGAAAAGAGTAAGAAAATATATAACCACCCCAATTCCAAGATATGTAATTCCAAGGTATGTAATGCCACCCCTGTTCACTGGGGATAATGCTCATAAACAAGGGCTCTCTAATCAGTTTGCGTGTTGAAGCAACTTGGACACAGATTTAGGGTATTTGTGGCCTGCAAAAGTGTCAAAAAGGCAAGGCACGTGGCAACTTTCTTATTTGAGACCATCTCTGGTTTCAACCTGACACATTCCTTTCTCTCAATATCTAATTGCCAAAGTCTTTTTCTTGTTACTCTGCCCATATTTGCCTCTTGTTAAATCTGTGCAGACTGTCTCTGGCACTCCTGAACCCATGCAGTGAATTGATTTTCCTCAGATTTCTTCCCAAAATCGATCTTTTTCAGTTAAGAATTAAGATACCTGACTGATCCAACACACTTTGCTACCTTCTCCGTTTTTATCTCTTCTGTGGGACTATACTCACTCTTAAAAATCTCCAGAGAGCATAGGCATTGAACAAGGTTTCCAGTAATTTAGAGACTTATAATGCAAATATGTCTGAGGGGAACAACATGGGGAAAATGAACCTAAATTGAATTTGATGGAATGAAATTTCACTCGTTTTTACAGTCCTATTTCAAGCCCTGTGTTTAAAATGTGGGAAATCCATTCGCTGTAAATTATATAACCCAGACAAACAAACAGTAAACAGCTTAATCAAGGAACCACCAATATCGTTCCCACCAACACTGACAGAGCAAGCTCCTAGTGTACAAATAGAGAGCAAAACCCACTTTTTGCTAGAACTGATGATATTACCTAGTTAGGTAATGAAATGTCTGCAAGAAAACAACCAAGCTCACAGTTCAAATCTGAGCTATAGATATTCTCTTCTATTGGAACATGTATAATACTAATAATTTTACATGTTTGTGATATTGTTTATTTGACAGGATGCAGTGGCTGGGCCAAATTGTGGAGAAAATATGGTCCTCGTTTACCTCCAAATGATCTTTGTTTATATATTTCTTCTGCTGATGTTGAAGAGATGCTTGATGGTTCTGGACTGAAGTATCAGACTTATGAGCTTCCATCAGACATGGACATTACAGATTGCTTTATTGAAGGGAGCAAAACTGGGGAACTTTTGCTTGATTTTTTGACAGAAACCTGTAATTTCAGTAAAACTGCCCCTCTTGATCTGAAAAATGAACTCATTGAAGATCTTAAAAAGCCTGAATATGGTGAAAGGAGAGGTGACAAATATTTTTTTAATAACACTCTGAGCGCAATAATGATTGAACATTAAAATGGAGAGATTTACTTACAAACTTAATGTCACTGTGAAACTTGTTTAATGTTTTAATATCTCGATTGTATGTGAAACCTGAGACAAATACAGACAGAAACACCCAAGTGGGATTTAGTATGTTGTGTCTTGAGTTATCATTGTTAAGAGTATCAATACCAGCATGTGTTTGCAATGTTGCAAATAAATATTAATAAATTAAAATTAATAAAGTAAATTAAAACTTACTTAATTGGGATGCCTATCATTATTCCTAAGTGAAGGTCCCATGTTGAGATGATGAATCAGATCTTGAAAAGACGGAAGCCTATATTCTGCTTGATGAAGAAAGAGTGATTGCCAACAAGTTTGCACTTATGACTTGTTGCAGTGCCCTGCAATTGTGCAATCACTATGTATAAACACGATTTGAAACCTTCATGTAGTCACCATTTATAACTTTTCCTGCCAGCTTCCCCAGAAAGTCAATGGAGACACTGTCATGTCTCCAAGGCATGCCGGAGCCGTGACACCACGCGTTGTGCCATGTCAGACTATGCTATCGAGGGGGGAAGTGCTGTTAACCACCCAACCTGGGGCTTCGACTGTTCGATGGAGATAATGAGCCTTGCTGACGTCACATGCTGAGCTGTTACAGCCTGCGGGCGGTTGTAGACAAAGTGATTAGGATGCTGTCTGCTGAACTAACGATCTAGAAAGGGGTGGAGGGTCAATTCATAGGCGTAAATACAATGATGGAATATGATAGTTTGTACAAGTATAGTAAATAGGGGTAAACTATTAATGGCTAAAAGCACGGTGTATAAGGGGTTACATGGTGATCGGGTGTGTTGCAGTAACGCTCACCGGATGGGGGATAAACTCATTAAGTTGTTAACTGGTGTCTAAATACAGCTCTGGCTGAGAGGTGCGCCAGAGCTGACTTTAATTCCTTTTGGTTACTCGTTGTTACCTGAATCCAGAGCATTGTATGGACGAATAAAGACTCATTTGATCATTACCTTGAGACCTTTGTTTCCCTTCCTGTCTGGAATTCGGTGAAACAGCTGAGAGACGCTTGCAATGAAGGTTGCAGGTTGCTGGGGTATCAGTCCTTTTGTGTTTGCACCATGTCAGCCACTTTTGAATGCCAAAAGAGAAGTATTTTCTGAAAGATATTTATGTTATTCTTTAAAGCAAAGACAATGGATTCATATGGCTCTTATTATTACATACATTGAATCCCCATCCACCTCATGTTATATAGATAGATAGATAGATAGATAGATAGATAGATAGATAGATAGATATAGATATAGATATAGATATAATTATAGATATAGATACAGATACAGATATATAGATATAGATACTGTTTGCTGACTTTTAGATGTTTACAAAAATTATGCATTATGAATTATTGAGGTCTTCTTGTTCTCTGAGCTTTCTTCTGTTCTTGTAGATATTTCATGACCGGTTTGGGAAACATTATCAGTGCATGGGGGAATTTTTCTGGCTGTTTTTTTGTCTTAACGGTCTTGTTTGGAACATTGTTTCTTCTTTGATTGTTCTTGTTTATCTGATTGCTGTTTGCTGCTTGTTTGTCTGATGAGAAAGGAAATGTTTGCTTCTTTTCTTGACTTCTCATCACTTCTTTTCTTGAATGGTTTGTGGTGTGAGCTTATCTCAACGTGTCTCTTAATGTATGATTCACAGAGTGTAAAACATCTAGGATCTTTTTTTGCATTTTGGGTCTAACATGTCTAGTTTCCCAAATGAAAATATGGTTGAAATTATCAGTGTGTTTTGAAACTAAGGGGTTTTCTTTTGACTAATAGTTAAAGTTCATGGATCTGTTCTCTTTTCATGAACTATTGTTCTTTTTTATGACTTGTTGCATTACGATTAGGTCATTGAGGGTTTTTCTGATTTGATTGTTTAGTTTCTGTATAGGGTTTGTATTTATGAGATTGTATGTTACCTTATCATTCAGCATTTCTTATATTTTGGGGGTGTAATGTGTTTGTTTTCTTATGAACTGTGGTTGGGTTGTTGGGAGGACAATGATGGTTTGATTATTTTCTAGTGTTTTTAGGGCTGTTATTTTTCTGCCTTGAAGTAGCTCTGTTTCCTTATATGTTTGGTCAAAGGAATAATTCATTCCTTTATGGAGGATGTTATGTTCTGAGGTAGATAAGAATGCCTAACCACCCATTCAGGTTCAGATACATCTTGGGACCTGTGAATCTTGTGATCTGAGATCATGAAGCCATCCAGTGTAGCAGGCAATACTAGCTGCAAAGGATACATTTTTTAAAATCATCAGGGGAAGGTTTATACTTTTGAAAGCCTTCCTGTAGCAACAGTTTAGTCCTAGAGGGCATACACAATTCTTCAACTGTTTAGAGGATTTGGCAAAGTGGATTAGTTCACAAAGTAAGGGGAGGGTGTTGTTCCTTTTCCAGAAAGGAAAATTTTGATTGTATGCTAATTTGCATGCTCTGCCATTCATTCATAGATTACACTTCCTAAGTGGCTGACATTTTCCATCTTGGAAATTCACAGGCAAGGAACTCAAGGGAGGTGGGGAGCAAAGTATTTGTTTAGCCATGCAATAAGCATTCCTTCAACAAGACAGTTACAGTCTACTGAAGAAGAGGGTGATTTCTCCTTTTTTTCTGGATTAAAAAACAATCTCTTATAACTGTTTTACAACCTTTAATGTTTTGCTACTGCTGTGGATGCAAAAGAATGTGGACATAGGAGCACAAAGCACACAGAGAAAGTGATAATAATTCTGCTTCCAATTAAATTCTGTTGGTCACTTTCATAGTTCTCTTTCATTCTGCATTTCTCTCATTAATAGAGATCTGAAAGTGTAGTGCTGCTGGTCTGGTTCCATTGGTGAGGGGGCATTGGATAATAGTTTATGCCTTATTCTTTTAAGCATAAGTACACAGATCTTTATATTTTCATGCAATTGTTGAATATATATATTGCAGAATTAAACAAAGATTTATTCTAGCCATTAAAAGTCATATTTTGTTTTGCCCTGTCCTTAGTGGGACATCTGCGTAGAGTAGGAAATTCTTTCTCATCTTCAATCCAATTAATCTGGAGAAAGAGGTAGTTTTTATTTTTTAACATGATCTCATTTCCCCCCTATATAAACAAGGAGTCTTCAACCATGATGGCCTCATTCTTGGCAAGAGGACAAAGCATGCCAAAATAAGATATAGAACTGTCCTCCTTGCCATTGGTAAAATGCAGTGAGATGAGATCATTGGAAAACAGGTAAGCTTAATTAAGGTTCATAGCCTACATAAGCTAGTTAGAAGCCTCCATGGAATGGAACTTCAATGCAGACCTTGAAGTGTGTGGGTATGCGGGTGCTCAGGGGTGGGATTCAATTTTTTTAACAACTGGTTCTCTGGGTGTGGCTTAGTTGGTGGGCGTGGCTTGGTGGTAATGTGATTGGCTGGGCATGGCCAACTCAACATCACTCATTGAGGCAGGCATCTCCTTGCCTGGCCTCTCGTGACTGTGGGGATGCTGCAATAGTAGTAAGCATGAAAAATGGTCATAAGTCACTTTTGTCAGTGCCATTGTAACTTTGAATGGCCACTCCACACAAGCAAAGTACCAGCAAAAGAGGGGAAAAAAACTCCAGAGACGTTCCTGAGACAGGAAGTCTAGTCCTGCCAAGAATGTAATAAGGGTTAATGGAGAGGCAGTTTCTGTAAGCAATACCAGAATGTTTCCTTCCTGCCTTCCTTACAGGGTTAGGCCAGTAATTTTTTCTAACAATCGGTTCTCCGAACTGCTTAGAATGTTAACAACCAGTTTTAGCGAATAGGTGTGAACTGGTAGAATCCCACCCCTGTGGGTGCTCCTCTGGGGTTTCCTGACTGGCAAAAGGGTGACAGGGTCTTTCTTTGTCTTACTATATTCTTCATGATTATTCTTTGACTGCTGTCTAATTTTACACTATTGTTATTTTCTTCTTTTGCCTTGCAATAAAACCTTAACTGAATAGTCACTGCTTGTGAATGCAAAGGAGACATCTAGAAGTTATTGAACTATAGCTCGTGGCAGCCCAAGCATGCATGGTCAGTGCTAAGAGAACTTGGGAGTTACAGTTTGTGTCGGGCTCCAACTTCAGCCTTTGGAGAGCTGGCTATAAAAGAATCCATCCACCCCTTTTGAAGCTGTGTGTAGGAGATGACCAGGCTGAGCCCAAGGGTGGGGTCAAATGAGTCATTAGTTTGGGGTCACCTCATTCCTACAAGGGATCTATGTCTAGCCCCCTATGAATTCTGTTGACTCTTATCTACCGCCAATATGCCTTTACTGTTAGTAGTTCAGATTCTTATGTATAGGTAGCATGGAATAAACTCGTACTTTTGAACCCCACTGGCCCCTGGTTTCTTGCACCTGACATGTGTGCTCCACGGTAGAAAGTTCTGTTGTTAGGAAGCTTTTTTTTAACATCTAGATGAAATCTGTATTTTTGTAAGTTCTACTCACTGGTTTTAGTTTCGTCCCCTGGAATACAATTCATCTTCTCCATTCCAGATTTCTGATATGGAAGAGTGATACTGTATTTCTCCTTTAATATTTGTTCCCTAGCTTAAATAGATGCAGACATTCAAACTATTGACAGGACTGCATCAACATTTCCATCATAATGGTTTCTATTCTCTAGTTCAGCTCCAGTTTGTCAATATTCTTCTTAAAAGGCAATGCCCAAAACAGGATACAATGCTCTAGATGTGTTCAGTCTATGATGAACGCTTGTGTAGAACAGCCTAAGATATTTTACAGCCTGAGCCACAGATGAAGAAGACAGATCTCCTTCTATTCCTTCTACAAAGGCTGACTATATTGGCTGGAGAATGTATTAACCCTGAAAATGTTGCCCTCAAAAGCCCAATTTGGACAAATAATACTTTCTTGGACCCACTTGAGGTGGCTACTTAATTTTGCCTAATGATGGAGCTTGCTGTCCATGGGATGGTTAAGTGAAAGGCAACCTAGACAAATCACCAGCCTCAGCCTTTTTTCCTGAATCCCAGCCTTTTCCCTTTATCTCAACAATTCCCCCTGGAGCTAGACCTCACGGTTTGTAGACCAAATAACTTTATTTTCAATTTATCAAGCTGCAGAGTCCTTAGTAGTATCCAAGATTTTCCCTCCATGCTCCTTTCATTTGACTGGAAATCATTAAGTTACTCATCCTAAACTTTGACGTGTCACATCTGTATAATCCCTACAAACAAATTAACAGGGTTCTCAAATGATGTCATTGCTTCTCTCCCCCCCACCCCCGAGCCTAGAAGCATCCATTTTAATATAGCAAGGTCTTTCTATCATAGACTCCGCCTCTATATCAATATATTAGTAGGGTGGAGCTTTAATGTTTCATAAGAATATATATGTTCTCATGAAAAAGATGAATATCTAATTTTATATCTTCATTTGTACGATGTGCCGAAATTGTCTTAAATATTTTGTTATGGATGGAGAAGCTTTCTACCAATTTAGGCTTCTGCTTGCTTTCATTCTCCTTCTCTCCGGTCTGGAGAATGTTAACATAAATTGTAGCATAAATCTTTGCCTTGTAGAGTAGCAGAAGGCACATATAAAAACCCATATCTTTACTGCACATATTTCCCATTAACCATAATCTATTAGTAATTGAAGTTCATTACAAATTCTTGTAGGCTTTATTGCTATCATGCTGCATGACATAGTGAACCTGGCTTGCATAACAAGAAGCCCTTGCTGGGAATATCCTATTAACAATGACAGTGCATTTGTCATTGTGATAATAAACCCAAGAACTGCCTGTAGATTATAAATTATTGTGATGCCATTTGCAACACTGTAGTTTAAAGTTTTGTCAGGCCTTCCATTTTAAAGACCCCTATTTTTCAGTGAGTTATAACTCAACTATAAAAATTTGCAGCCCGTTTAAATTTGGCCTATAAGGACTTATCCCAAGAGATCGAAAAAAGACAAGGCAAAAATGTATAAAAGAAATCAGTGAAAGTCTAAATTGACCCCTAGTTAAATTACACAAATAGAGGCTAGTAAATGAAAGGGATGTTCTTTGTTTTGCATTAGTGCATACTCTTAACTCGTTCGGTTTTAAAAATAACACTTAATGAGTAACTACATGTTGTTATTGCAGTGAATTTAAGGCTCAACATTCTAGGTATTTAAACAATAGTTAAAGAGTTTGCCAACCAGCTGGGAAACCCTGTGTTGTATTTCCTAAGCCTCTCCCTCTGTCCACACGAATTTTCTCTGGCACTCCAGTTATTATTTTTACAGACTTTATGTTTGCATTGATCTTAGCCATGGTTAATGTCAGTTCCACTTAAGTGGGATTTGTGAACTCATCTGAAACACAGGATAGGAGAACGCACTCAGTTAAAATGGTTTTGGTAAGGACTGTACAAATATAAATCTTAGCACAATGGTTATCAGGAAAAGAGAAAGAGTACGGCTGAGAGAAGGAAGTATGGGAAAATACACAGATAAAAAATGAGAAACATTCAGTTTAAT